GAGGTTTTTTTTGGCCCAATCCTCTAATTTGTCTAGGTCCCTCTGTATCCGATCCCTACCCTCTAGTGTATCTACCACGCCTCCTAGTTTAGTGTCATCTGCAAACTTGCTGAGAGTGCAGTCCACACCATCCTCCAGATCATTAATAAAGATATTAAACAAAACCGGCCCCAAGACCGACCCTTGGGGCACTCCCCTTGAAACCGGCTGCCAACTAGACATGGAGCCATTGATCACTACCCATTGAGCCAGACGATCTAGCCAGCTTTCTATCCACCTTACAGTCCATTCATCCAGCCCATACTTCTTTAACTTGCTGGCAAGAATACTGTGGGAGACCATATCAAAAGCTTTGCTAAAGTCAAGGAATAACACATCCACTGCTTTCCCCTCATCCACAGAGCCAGTTATCTCATCATAGAAGGCAATTAGGTTAGTCAGGCACGACTTCCCCTTGGTGAATCCATGCTGACTGTTCCTGATCATTTTCCTCTCCTCTAAGTGTTTCATAATTGATTCTTTGAGGACCTGCTCCATGATTTTTCAGGGACTGAGGTGAGGCTGACTGGCCTGTAGTTCCCCGGATCCTCCTCCTTCCCTTTTTTTAAAAGATGGGCACTACATTAGCTTTCTTCCAGTCATCCGGGACTTCCCCCGATCGCCATGAGTTTTCAAAAATAATGGCCAATGGCTCTGCGATCTCATCCGCCAACTCCTTTAGCACCCTCGGATGCAGCGCATCCGGCCCCATGAACTTGTGCACGTCCAGTTTTTCTAAATAGTCCCGAACCACTTCTTTCTCCACAGAGGGCTGGTCACCTTCTCCCCATATTGTGCTGCCCAGTGCAGCAGTCTGGGAACTGACCTTGTTCGTGAAGACAGAGGCAAAAAAAGCACCTTTTTCCACATCCTCGGTCACTAGGTTGCCTCCCTCATTCAGTAAGGGGCCCACACTTTCCTTGACTTTCTTCTTGTTGCTAACATACTTGAAGAAACCCTTCTTGTTACTCTTAATATCTCTTGCTAGCTGGAACTCCAAGGATGATTTGACCTTCCTGATTTCACTCCTGCATGCCTGAGGAATATTTTTATACTCCTCCGTGGTCATTTGTCCAATCTTCCACTTCTTTTAAGCTTCTTTTTTGCGTTTAAGATCAGCAAGGATTTCACTGTTTAGCCAAGCTGGTTGCCTGCCATATTTACTATTCTTTCTACACATCGGGATGGTTTGTTCCTGCAACCGCAATAAGGATTCTTTAAAATACAGCCAGCTCTCCTGGACCCCTTTGCCCTTCATGTTATTCTCCCAGGGTATCCTGCCCATCTGTTCCCTGAAGGAGTCAATGTCTGCTTTTCTGAAGTCCAGGGTCCGTATTCTGCTGCTCTCCTTTCTTCCTTGTGTCAGGATCCTGAACTCGACCATCTCATGGTCACTGCCTCCCAGGTTCCCGTCCACTTTTGCTTCCCCTACTAATTCTTCCCTGTTTGTGAGCAGCAGGTCAAGAAAAGCTCTGCCCCTAGTTGGTTCCTCCAGCACTTGCACCAGGAAATTGTCCCCTACACTTTCCAAAAACTTATGAAGTGGGGAGAGTTTTGCGGGGATCAATTATTTCCATAAGTGCTTGTCACAGGGTCACTCGCCACACTGGTGCCACCTGCTGGCCGTTTCAGGAATTAGGTCTGGTGTGCCCTCAGGTGGTGGTGGCTCTACCGTCCTTGTCTCCACCTGCAGACCCACTGCAGTTCCAGTTTCACTGCCTCTGCTTTGTGGCATTGCCCTCCAACCGTGTCACAATCCAGGTTTCCCCCCTTCCGCTAATTGGCTGTTTCCTTGCAGCCCTCCAGTCTTTTGGGATCCTGGACGTGGGCGGGCAGAGCCCACCCACTACTAAAGGACCTCGCCCAGCCTAAGGGGCGGATCCACTAGGTTCGGGATCTCAAGTACGGGGGAGAACTAAAGATATAACAGGGACGGAAGTGAGGTCACAAGGCTAAATGAAGGGAACTGGACGGGGATACCGAGCAGAGAACCCCAGACAGCACTCGAAGGCGTCAAGGGAGCCAGCAGACACTGCCCAGAGGAACTCTGCCCGGATGTGTGAGACCAGGGAGGAGCGGAAGTAGGCCCCACAGTCACAGCGCACCCACTCATCCACCATTCTCTTCCTGGTGGTGTAAATGGCTACTTTGGCTAGTGCCAGGAGGTTGACGAGGAGGTCTTGCAACTTAGTGGGGCCACAGATAGGGTGTGCAAAGATGAACAAGTGTGGGGAGAAGTGCAGCCAGAACCTCCTGCTGAGGCTGCAACCTGGTGCACCCCAGGTACACGTGCGTCACGGTCTCCCTCACGCCGCAGAAGGGGCAGGTGTCCAGCATGGGGGTGAACCACACCAAGAACACGCCCATGTTCACGGCCCCATGAAGGAGCCGCCAACTGATATACCCGGCGGGCCTCAGGACCAGGGTGGAGTATAGGCTGGCCCACCGGGGTGCCTCACCCTCCAGAGGCATTGCAGCCTTCTAGGCTGAGTTTTAAGCCCATTAGGGCCAGTGTAAGGCAGACATCCCGTCACAGTGCTCATTTCTGCTGCTGACTAAACCTTCTGAAACACAGATCAGTTTTTAAAAAATCTTCATTTGATCCACCCAGAGAAGAAAGTGTCTCCCCTACACTGGATTTTCAGGTCCCACGCATAGAGCAACTATATGCAGGCTTTTAATCCCCCATGGCTCATAGATGTGAGTTAATTATCCCCATTTTCCTTATTAAAGAGACCAGTAGCCTGTAGACAGGTGGACAAGTGGTTCCATGACAGTGTTCAGTATCAAGTGAACTCTGTTTTCCAGGTGCTAATTCAGTAGAAGCACTTTGTCATTTTGATAAAGTGGGGGGGGGGGGGGGAGAATAGCTCCCTTTTATGGACACCCAGCCAGTCAGTAGCTATAGAATCCTCCTTAGCAGCTATACCCTATTTGCCTTAACTGTAAAGGGTTAGGAGAAGCTTAACCTGAGTTGGTACCTGACCAGGGGAACCAGTAAGGAGACGGTACCCTTTCAAATGGGAAAAACTGCTTGGTGTGGGGGGGGGTTTTCTTTGTCTCTCAGGTTGGAGAGAGGGGAAGGCAGCAAGCTGTAATCGTTAAGCTAGATATGGAAAATCATCAGCATCATACCTAGAAACTCCTCATTTGGAACCCCAGATATGTAAGTAACACAGGAAAAGTTAAGACAGATGCGGTTAGGAACTTTTTTGGTTGTTTTGGTTTGTGGATTCCCCTGTGCTAACCGCAGGAGCTTTTGTTTTGCTTGTATCCTTTAAGATGAACCCCAAGAAAGTTATTTTTGGTGTTTAATCCCTAAAGCCTGAGTTTTCAAATGTGTTTCTAGCTTTTTTAATAACATTTACCTTTTTTTTTTAAAAAAAAGAATCCTTTGATTCTAAAGTCCTTAGACAAGGGGTTCATCTGTGCTCCCATTGCTAAAGCAACTGGTTGGTATTTTATTCTCAAGCCTCCCCAGGAAAGGGGGTGAAGAGGCTTGGGGGGATATTTTGGGGAGTTGGGGATTCCAAGTGATTCTTCCCTGAATATTTGTGAAAATCACTTAGTGGTGGCAGCAATATCTGCCCAAGGCACAAGACTGTGCCTTGGAAGAGTTTTAACCTAAGCTGGTAGAAGATAAGCTTAGGGAGTCTTTCATGAGGGTCCCCATATCGGTATCCCAGAGTTCAGATTTGGCGGGGTGTATACCCTGACAGTCATAACCAGATCTTTTAATGAAATAATGGAGAGAATCTATCATTGACAAATGCATGCAAGAGAGCTCAGAGCCTGGGAGGAAATGCACATTTTAGTTCTTCCTTTTCCAAAACTAAAGATTTCCTGGGAATTAATGAAATAAGAGGTGAGTACAGAACTCTGAGATTTGCACCATAAGCTTTTCTTATCCCTGCCCATCTCCCAGGATAAACCTAACACACTACTGAACCAGATGCAAGTGCCTTTGTTATGCAATGGACTAAGAGTGCAAGGAATACTGTCCAACTGATCAAATGAAATGTTGATCCTTTAACTTACGGTTCCCACATAGGTGTTTTGATTTACATTTAAAGACAGACCTAATTTTGCTTGAAAAGGGGGTATTTATTGTGGTTTAGCAACTATTCTTTAAATAAAATATCTATTACATCATTCAACTTCAAATAGGATTTAATTTTCTCTTTAGAGTGAATGTTGAGTCCATAGAGGTACTATATTCATATCTCTGACATAACAGGCCTAATATAATGAAACAATCCTAGTCTTCCAAAAGAAAAGAAAAGAAATCCAGACCTTTCAATGCAATATTAGAGCTAGTGGAATCTGCTGCTGGTCAGTCAGTTCTCTGAACCACAAAAAAATGTTTGAAAATGGAAAATATCAGCCATAACCCAGTTTATTAATAGATAATATATACACTATTTAAAAGTGGTCCTTATGTGGATGAGCTAGGTTCTATATGTCTGGTCTTTACGCCAGTGAAAAAACAGCATGTCACTAATGTCCCACTGGGCAACAATCAATATATTGTGCCAATATCTGGCTAATAAAGGACTGACTAATAGACACTTGGTGATTGCAGAAGGCAAGTCTTTAGAAGCAAAAAACATTGTCACAGGATCAACACCTGCTGGACCATGAAATAAAACCTGCCTCAGCATAACTTTGTGCATGGATTCCTCAAAGGAAGTCCACCTTCTCATAGGCCTGTTCAAGGTGGGTCAACATGTTCTTCATCTCAGCTGAGTGCTGGATGGTGCTTAGGTCCTTCAGAATACCTTTCTGGTCTTGGATTTTCAGAATCTCCTCCTGGAGAAGGAAGAAAGGAAGGAGAATGGGTGAGAGACATACAAGACATATCCATTTCACTTATGGCATGTCTACAGGGAGCAACACTGCACACTATGGGAGTGCATTTCAAAAATCGCACCCCCGCTCCCAATGTGCATTGCTGCTATGTGTAGACAAGCCATTAAAAGTCCAGGAGAAATTCCATCCAATAAGACTTTATTTCCAGTGCAGTCACAGCTGTCTACAAGGTGACATGAGGATAGTGATCTTTAACACTTGGATGGAAATATCTCACAAGGGACCATTTAATAAACTTCTTTCTGCAATCAAGGATAGGCAGGCAGTTCTTATTCAGAGTATTTTACAGACTATTCAAACACAAACACATTGCTCTGCCCAGGAGAGGGGAAATGCAGACAGTTCCTGCTAGAAAGGGTAATGTGGTTTCTGTTGTTTCCTCCTCATTGTCTGGAAGGTCTCTGAAAACATGGTGCCCTGTCCCTGCTCACCTGCAGAATGGGTGCTGTCAGGCTGTGCTTTGGGAGTTCTGGAAGACTGAGGACCCCTGTACCATTTTTCTGGAACACCTAGAGAAGCAAGAGAAATAAAATGTGATCACAGATGCAAACGGATTCTTTACGGCCACCATCCTCCTAATTTCTTCGTCCGAAAGACAGAAATCCCTGATGTTTAGAAATCCTTGAAAATGCACATGCCTAATGCCAGGTGTGTTTCTCCTACACAAGGCCTCTGTTCAGAGATTGTGTACTGGTTGGTTCCAGAAACATGCCCTCCTGGGATCAATGCAGCAAATCTTGTTATAAGATACCTTCTTAGCCTTGTCCTCAGCTTCCTCCAACCGGTTCCTGAGAGTCTGGATTTTGTCCTGCAGGCTCTGAATATTCTCCTCTGTGTTCTCAGCAGTCTGCACAGCTGTCGTTATTTCTTCCTGGGTTAAAATGAAAAGAACAGAACAAATACATTTAAAAACAATTTATATGCAAAACATTGTGGTAGAGTCCCACCCAAACTGTCCCATTTTTAACTTCCCTGACAAACACGGATGCTCAAGAAAGAATCAAAGAACAAGAAATCAATAGAATTAAAGGACTGAAGTCTCATCTATCATGTGACAGCATTTGTATGAAGTAATGAAACAGCTCTATTACGACACGGCCATTGATCTCTGTCTATGAACAAGAAGTTTGGTGTAGTGAGGCAGTGTCGCTCTCCACCGCCCTAGAGAGGAACGAGCCCTTCCGGACACCGGAGTGGGTGGAGCTAGGGAGCACTGAGCCCACCCCCCAGAGGGTCAGGAGGCACCCCGGAAGTACAAAGCTCGACTTCAGAACTCACTGGAGAGACAGCCACCGGGGAGGCCAGACACTGTCCTGGCCCGCGACTGGGAAGCCCTTGTGGCCCTAGGTGCACCCAAGGACTGGCCTGACCTGCCCCACGCCCACTACCCGGAGGAGTTGCCAGGCCTGCCCCACACCCGCTACCTGGAGGAATTGCCGGGCCTGCCCCAAGCCAGCTACCCGGAGGAGTTGCTGGATCTGCCTCTCGCCAACTACCCTGAGGAACCCATGGTGCTAGACCCCCCGGAGGACACCACCGTGATCCAGGTACAAGGAGGGGGAGTCTGGAAGTAGCCATGGGGCAGCCGACCCTAGTCTGGTTGCAGCACTGCCAGAGCCCGTGTCAGTGTGTTGCAGTCAGGATCCCAACTGACACAGCAGCGGGTCTTCTGCTGCTGCTATGGCCCCGGACTGGGACGCAGTGGAGTGGGAGAGCCTGCGTTCCCCCTGCCACCCAACTCGCGGGTGGCAGTCTCCCCCTCTCCCAGGTCCCTTGGAGGCCTGGGCTCATTGCTACTGTTTGCACTGCTATTGCTCAGCCCTGCTTGAGGGCCTGACTAACTGTGGCCCCGACCTGACCCAGGCTTGGGCGTATTGCTACTGTTTGCATTGCTATTACTCAGCCCCTGCCTGAGCGCCTGACGCATTGTTGCCCCGCCCTGACCCAGGGCTTGGGCTTATTGCTACTGTTTGCATTGCTACTGCTCAGCCCTGCCTGAGCGCCTGACACATTGTTGCCCCGCCCTGACCCAGGGCTTGGGCTTATTGCTACTGTTTGCATTGCTACTGCTCAGCCCTGCCTGAGCGCCTGACACATTGTTGCCCCGCCCTGACCCAGGGCTTGGGCTTATTGCTACTGTTTGTGTTACTATTGCTCAGCCCCTGCCTGAGGGCCTGAACACCCGACTCACTGTTCCCCCAGCCTGACCCAGGGCCTGGACGTATTGTGCTTATTTCAGTTGCCGCAAGGGCCGCCGAAGGAGACTCCCGTGGCTGGACTAATTCCCCCCAGGACATCAACACTGTATAGTGAGGCGGTGTGGCTCCCCGCCACCCCGGCAAGGGACGGGTCCCGGCTAACCTCTTTACACTTGGATTCAGTTCAAGCATGGAATTAAGACTCCAGTCCCACCTTTTCCCAGCCCCACAGCTGCTCTTCTGTTAGAAACAGCTTGACTGGATGAGCCAAATAAGCCAGATAAGCTCCTGTTAAAATACCATGATGATAGCCACCTTATGCATCTACGTGAACTCTTCCAGGGGAACCAGAGAGGAAGACAAATGCTCTGAGAAGTTGAAAATGATAGTTTAAATAATATTTGTGTAACAGAATGTCAGGTTCTACGCAGAGATGTTGAGTTTTTTTGCTGACTCAATGACAGACAGACCAGGTGGCTCCTATTATCTCCAATTCAGAAGGAGGTTATTTCTGCCTCAGAAAGAAACTCAAAGGGGAAAATCCCTCTGAACAGCCAGCCCAGGGTTATGTTTTGATGTTGCCACTTAAGTAAACCATAGGACCAAAACCCTGGTAAGGGGAAGTTTGAAGCAGATGAAGTGTGAGAGGCACGGACTGGCACCTGCTTACATTGTAATTTTTCTTCACTGCCCATTCTCTTGTCCTTGTCCTTCCCAGAACATGTCCTATTGGATTTCTTCCACAAAATAAGAAAGGATGCCTCTTGTTCCCTGCTACCCGCAGGCAAGAACAGCAGAGGCAGAAATCCAATAGAAACAAGACACGTGGATAACAAAATATTGTTTCAGCATCTTCAGTATTTCCTTGTCTGCCAGCAAGTTTGGTGGGATTTTGTTTTAAAACTGAACACAATGATGTGCTGAACAACACAGTCAGCGGCGAACCAGCTGAGCGGCGAACAGACGAGGCTAACAGAGGAAGTTTGCCTGGGATCTGTCAGAGGAGGTACACTAAGTGCTGCATTAGGGAGGCTATGTTGGTGAGTATAAGAGTGTCTGTTGCTGGGACAGTTTGTCAGTTTGACCGTGTGCTTGATTGCTTGCTTGTTTGTTTGAAAAGTGTGAATTGGGAGTGCTTTGTTCCAGGTGGGCCTGACTGGTATATAAGGGCAGTCAGCAGCGAACCAGCTGAGCGGCGAACAGCTGAGGCTAACAGAGGGAGTTTGCCTGGGGAGAGCTCACTGAGGCTTTCATCTGCAGGTTTCTCTGAGTAGTTCCTGCAACAGCTGAGGAAGCTCTTAAGAGGAAGGTGATATGGAAGGTGAGCAATCAGCTGTTGTAACCTGCACAGGTTGTGCCATGTTTGTCTTTCTTCCACAGGACAGAAGCGACTTTGTCTGCACAAAGTGCAAGCTGGTCTCCATATTGGAAGAGAAGGTTCGAGGTCTGGAGAAACGAGTATCGACTCTGCGTTGCATACGGGAAAATGAAGATTTCCTGGACAGACGCCAGGAGATGCTTCTACGGCCACAATGTTCTGAAGATTTAGAGCAGGCGCAGCAGGGACAGGATGGTGAAGAAGTTTGGCAGCATGTGACCTCCAGAAGGAGAAAGAGGAGCGTCCATGTACCAGCAATCGTTTCCATGTTCTCTCTACAGGTACTAATACGGAGAGTGGACTAGATGACCCATCTGAGGGAAGGGAGCAGAAGGAGACTCCACCGATTGGAAGGCAAAAGATGCACTGTCCTAGGGATGGGGGTTCCACGACCACCACTCCCAAGAGGAGGAGGGTGGTGGTGGTGGTGGTCGGGGACTCCTTCTCAGGGGGACTGAGTCAACTATCTGCCGCCCCGACCGGGAAAACCGAGAGGTCTGCTGCTTGCCAGGAGCTAGGATACACGATGTGACGGAGAGACTGCCGAGACTCATCAAGCCCTCGGATCGCTACCCCTTCCTGCTTCTCCACGTGGTCACCAATGATACTGCCAAGAATGACCTTGAGCGGATCACTGCAGACTATGTGGCTCTGGGAAGAAGGATAAAGGAGTTTGAGGAGCAAGTGGTGTTCTCATTCATCCTCTCTGTGCAAGGAAAAGGCCTGGGTAGAGACTGTTGAATCGTGGAAGTCAACGAATGGCTACGCTGGTGGTGTCGGAGAGAAGGCTTTGGATTCTTCGACCCTGGGGTGGGGTTCCAAGAAGGGGGGGGGCGA